TTAAAAAAGAAGGTGAAAGAAAAAGGCAAAGAGGATAGAAAGAAAGAAGGAAAAGTAATGAAAGAAATGAAGAAGAAGGAAAGAAGTGTGGAGAAATAAAGAAAAGAACAAAGATGAAGGAAAGAAATAGAATGGATGAAAAAAGAAAAGATGAAAGAGAGAAGGAAAGAGAAGAAGAAAAAGGCAATGAGGAAAGAAAAAAGAAAGAAGAGACTGAATCAAAGGCAAAGAAATAGGAAAAAAAGAAAGAGGAGAGAACGAAACAAAAGTAAAATATAATGAACAAAAATGGAGTAAGAAAAAAGAAAAGAAAAAGGTAATAATATGTCATAAAAGTTTAAAAAAAATAGAAAGAAAGGGAAGAAATAGTTGAGGAAAGAAAATAATAACAACGATTAAAAAAAAGAAAGACAGAATGAAAAAAAAAAGAAGAAAAATTAAGGATAAAAAAAAGAATTGAAAGAAGGAAAGAAAACGGAAAAATGGAATAGAAGGAAGAAGCAAAAGTGAAAAAATAATTAAGAAAGAAAGAAATGAAAGGGGGATAAAATGGAAAGAAAGAACAAGAAAGAAATAATAGAGAGAGGAATAAAGTGACTAAAGTGACTAAAGAAAGAATGAAAAAAATTGGTTAAAAAACGAGCGCAAATTTGGAGGGAAAGGACAATTTAGAAAAAAAAAAAAAAAAAAAAAAGACGCGGGATAAAATTCAAAATTGTAGATAAGACATTTTTTAAAGAAAAAGAGAATGTCAAAAAGGAAAAAAAAAAAGGAAAAATGAAAAAGAAAACCAAGAAAAAAATGATATAATAATTCTGAAAGAGTATTTAGTGGAAAAGAGGAAAGTAAAAAAGAAATAAAAAGAATGAAAGGAAAAGACAATAGAATGAAACTATGGTTGAGAACAAAAAGTAATTTAAAGTAAATAAATGAAAACAAAAAAAGGACAAAAGAAAAAGAGAGAATAGAAAAATAAAATTAAAAAAAAAATATGAATGAAAAAAGAAACGACACTAATTTTTAAATAAAGCAAAATATGTGTGTGAAAGAGAGAGAGAGAGAGAGAGAGAGAGAGAGAGAGAGAGAGAGAGAGAAGCAGACAGACAGACAGACAAAACTCCGACAGACAGATGAATACAGGCTAACCACTAAGAATGAACAAGGAAAAAAAAAATAGGAAAATGAATATGGAGAAAGAATTGAAAGAAGACACCAGACAACAAAAATAACAACAAAAGAAAGAAAACAGGAGAGAAGTTGAAAAGACCAAAAAGAACAAGAAAGGTAAAAAAAAAAAAAAAGAAAAAAAGAATGAACATATAGGCGACAAATTTCAATGAAAAAAATAGAAAAGAGAAAGAAAATGAATTATTTTCATTAAAGAAAAAAAGAAAAGGAAAGTAAGAAAAAAGTTTTATGAAATCATTTTAAAGAAGAAAGAACGAAAAATAAAAATTATCGAAATTATAATGAAAAAATGAAGAGAAAGAAAAAACGAAAAAAAGAAGAAAAAAATGTTATTTTTAGCCAAAGAGTAAAGGAAAAAGGAGAAGAAATCAAGGAAGCAACAAAATCAAAAAAGTGAAAAATTAAAGAAAAGAAAACGTTTTTTTTTTTTTGTAACCTATGTGATAAAAGAAAGAAAGAATAAAAAGAAAAAAAAAAGAACGAAAATAAGTGAAAGAAAGGACGAAGAGTAAGAAAATAATTTCTATGAAACCAAAGAAGGGGAAAATAAAAGAAAGCGCGAACAAGCAAGGCCAACAGAACAAGAAAGAAAGAACAACAAAGGAGAGAAAGAAGAATATGACGCAAGTGAGAACGAATTCAGAGGCTAACAATAAGGAGAGTAAGTGGGGAGGGCAAGGAGCTTCTAGAGGCCTGGAGAGCTGGTCGGTAGAGTAAAGAACGCTGGAAGAGTGTTGTTAAAAGTGAAGGAGAGAGGCGGCGAGAGGAGTGAGTGAGAGTGTGTGTGTCGTAGTGGGATGATGCCGGGAAGGGACGCGATTGTATAATTCTGAGGGAACAGGGTCGTAGGCGGGAAGAGTCTTTGTCGTTGTTGGTGACATGATGGTAAGTTGGGTTGGAGTAAGGGTGGGGAAGTCATGGCGGGAAGTGAAAGGTGGAAGTGGCGGGGCTGATGGCATTGACCAGCCAGTTATACAACTACCCTTCTCCCGCCAACTCCCGCTTCACAAGCAGAGAAACGTAGTATAAACAGCAGTAGCAATGGCGACAGCCATTACAATATGGCGGCCCTTCTCTCGTCTGCTTTACTACGCAATGTGGACGTGGTTTGGGGAAATCGTAGCAAGAAAGTCAGGACGGGCGATTGCGTCGAAAGGATATTCCGTTTGGGAGGTTTTAGATTTAATGTAATCGTAGGATGGTAAGTAAAACTTATGGGACAAAAAGAACGAATTTTAAGGTAATAGATAGGTAGATATTAATAGATGCTAACCTTAATGGAATGGAGACACAAATAAATGGCCAGGAAAGG